CGCTCGCTCATCTCCCCCCCTTTCCTGACCTGCCGGGCTAAACGCTCGGCCTGCAGACCCGAAGGGCTTGGTATGAATGGGAGGTTTTATAAATCATTTTTTTAATTAATGGCAATTTTTTTACATTCAGCTGTCAGTGGGGAACCCGTTGACAGCTGAAACATTAACACATGGTTGTCACTACTAAAATACCGCATGACTTGATAAAAAGCTGCAGTATTTTAGTAGCGTTTACTTTTTTCTGACCTCCAGAACGGATTAATTGGTTTTGAATGCAGTCCTATGGGAAACGGTGTTTCGGTTTACTAATTTTCGCTATATGAAAAGTCCTGCAGAACTAATTAAATTCGTAAATGGAGATATTACTGTATATAACACTGATGTTTGTACACTGAGTGCCATTCCCTATCCCGACCCTACCGTGTTTCCCTGAAAATAAGACACTTTCTTATATCTATTTTTCCTCAAGAAAACACACTATGGCTTGTTTTCAGGGGATGTCTTATTTTTATTAAGTATGGGGAGCAGCAGCTTTACTGGTGTTTGTGGGGGAAGAGAGAGACCCACAGACGGTTGCTGGTCAGTGCTGGGGAGCAGCAGCTTTACTGGTGTTTGTGGGGGGTGAGAGACCCACAGACTGTTGCTGGTTGGTGCTGGGGGAGAGAGACCCACAGTGCTGAGTAAAACAGCAGGCACAGCTTTACTTCTTCCCCGAGGAGACTTTTACTTTCACTTTCTACCTCTTCACTGTCTCCCTCTATGAATCAACTTGCAGCACACACAGAATGACCGGAGCCGACCTTGTTGATGGGGCTGCCCGTAACCTCTACGTTCACCTCCGAGATAGCAGCTGTCACAATGGGGGAGATGAGAAGGGCTGCCCTCCATCACTATGTCTTATATATTGGGGTATGGCTTATATTGCCCAAATGCTTAGAATTCCTGCTATGGCTTATTTTATGGGTATGTCTTATTTTCAGGGAAACACGGTATATCTAATAGCCCTGATTTCTATATACACTGAATGGCACTCAATGTACAGATGTCAGTGTTATATTTAGGAAATAACACTAAATGTAAAGATATCAGTGTTCTATAACACCGATATCTGTACACTTAGTGTCATTGCCTATAACACTAAAATCTGTACACTAAGTGTACAGATATCGGTGTTATAGAACACTGATATCTTTACATTTAGTGTTATTTCCTAAATATAACACTGACATCTGTGTGTGTGTGTGTGTGTATATATGTGTGTGTATATATGTGTGTGTATATATATATATATATATATATATATAAAATATCATCTATCTAATGGGAATCGCATTCAGTGTACAGATCAGTTTAGTGTTATATACAGTTCTTTGAAAAAGTATTCATACCCCTTGAAATTTTCCACATTTTGTCATGTTACAACCAAAAACATCAATGTATTTTATTGGGATTTTATGTGATAGACCAACACAAAGTGGCACATAATTGTAAAGTGGAAGGAAAATGATAAATGGTTTTCAGATATTTTTTTTTATTATTTTACAAATAAATATGTGACAAGTGTGGCGTGTATTTGTATTCAGTCCCCCAAGTCAATATTTTGTAGAACCACCTTTCACTGCATTTACAGCTGCAAGTCTTTCAGGGGATGTCTCAATGGGCTTTGCACATCTAGAGAGTGAAATTTGTGCCAATTCTTCCTTGCAAAATAGTTCAAGCTCTGTCAGCTTGGACAGAAAGAGTCTGTGAACAGCAATTTTCAAGTCTTGCCACAGATTCTCAATTGGATTTAAGTCTCGACTTTGACTGGGCCATTCTAAGACATGAATATGCTTTGATCTAAACCAATCCATTGTAGCTCTGGCTGTATGTTTGGGGTCGTTGTCCTGCTGGAAGGTTCATCTCCGCCCCAGTCTGTTTGTTCACTAATCTTCTCTAACAAACCCCTGGGGGCTTCACAGAACATCTGTATTTATACAGAGATAAATTTACACACAGGAGGACTATTTACTGAATTTTTTTTTTAAAAAAACCCTATATTTTCTGCTATAAAACATCCAATAAAAAAATTAAAAAAATAAAATTTCTTCATAAATGTAGGCCAAAATGTATTCTGCTACAGGTCTCTGGTTAAAAAAAAAAAAAAATCCCAATAATTGTAGATGCTATAACGTTCACATAAACTAATCAATACAAACTATGGGATATATACTGGAATATATGCAGCAACAGACACTATACTGGTAATGACAGTGATCAGCAACTTATAGTGGGACAGGTGACAGATTTGCCAAGATGTAACCTGAACTTAGCTCTTTAATGCTTTTGTAGCATGCTGGTCAGAGATTTTTATGTTTTTAATTTTTATTAAAAATCTTCAGCTGAGAAGACATTTGTTGCAACTGTTATATTGCGTTCATTCATTAAAACCTTCATTGTTATGCTTTCTTTAATGTAAGTTTTTTTTCTCTTTATTTTCTATAATAAACATTTATTTTGACCATAGTTTAGAGACATTCTGTGACAAAACACATGTAATGCGAGAAGTGCAATATGTAGGTGGGGCTTTGTGTGGGTGTAGCTTGAGTGTGGGTGGGACACAGGGGGGCCTCATGATCTCCTATTGCCCGGGGGCCCCATGAGTTGTCAGTCTGCCCCTGGAGACTACATTTATATCTAGCATATTCCTAGGAGACAGTTGTGACATTTACAAATGCACCTGCCATTTTAGGTTATGCAGGTCTAGCAAAGCTAGTGATTGTGGAAGCCACATAACTAAATTCTGTATGTAAATTGAAGCAACAGTAGAACCTACAGAGAAACAGTGAAAAGGAATGTAACACCATTCTACATTTTTTATTGGACAATTCATCTCACTCTGACATTCTTTTAACTGCCATCATACATCAGCAGCAGAGGGGAGTTTATACACAAACCGAGTGTGTCTGGCAAGCTAAATGTTGGCTGGTAGGTGGAAGCGATCCAGTGGCTGTACAGTCAAACCACCCCCTTCCATATTTATTGGGCTCTGCTGTCCCATATACAGGACCCCAATAGTGGGTGTCGATGGGTAGCGGGAGACCAGCGGACATCATTCACTGATCTCCCCTGGCTATAATGAACACGAAAGCAAAACACATTACATCACTTCTAGGTTCACTTTCCCATCTAACGGCATGTGATCTGCATAAGGCGTGGTACTTCGATTTGTCTTTTGTCAGTTTACAATGTGACAACATTTTATAAGTCAGTACTGGCACATGATTTTATGCAGGAATGAAACAAGCGTGTAAAAAAAAATGCATCTGAATTTGCTTTATAAAATGCCTTTGTGGCAAATTTGTGTAAACTGTAACAAAAAGCCTGCTTGGATTACTTTAACCCTTTCGCTGCCAGGTCTGTACACTGTACAGACCTGACAGTGGGGGTTTTATACACAATCCGGTGGCTGCAGCCACCGGCATTGTGTATAAAACTGACAGGCAGACTCCTGCCTATCAGGTGGAAGCAGTCAGGTGGCTTCGTTTCACTGATTGCTTCCAAATCCCAAATGGTGAAAGGGAAGACCTCCAGCAGATTGACAGCCTCAGCTTTGTTCTGCTGTGCTGTGTGGCGGGGGGGTTGTGTCCCTTCCCTCCAATCAGCTCTCAGAGCTCTCCTCACTGATGTAACTTTAGCTCTCCGCCCCCTTTCTTCAGAGATTATTATTATTATTATACAGTATTTATAAAGCGCCAATAGTTCACTCAGCGCTGTACATTACAAAGGGGGACAGAACATGTGACAGAACAATACCAATACAATGCAAAACATGAGGGGATCGAGGGCCCTGCTCTTTCGAGCTTACAATCTAGAAGGGATGGGGCAGTGGTACAGGAGGAGATAGCTGTGGGGGATGGAGTGGTAGGAAGAGTGGAGGAGGTCAGCAAGTTAGCAGGGGGTGAGGTAGGCTTCCCTGAAGAGATGGGTTTTCAGGGTGCGCCTAAAGGAGAGGAGAGTAGGTGATAATCTGATGGGTTGGGGCAGGGAGTTCCAGAGGATGGGTGACACCCTGGAGAAGTCCTGGAGGCGGGCATGGGAGGAGGAGACCAGGGAACTAGAGAGAAGGAGGTCTTGTGAGGAGCGGAGTGTGCGTGTTGGGTGGTACTTGGATATTAGGTCAGTGATGTAGTTCGGGGCAGTATGGTGGACAGCTTTGTACGTCAGTGTTAGGATTTTAAATTTGATCCGTTGCGCAATCGGAAGCCAGTGGAGGGATTGGCAGAGGGGGGTGGCGGAAATGGAGCGGTTGGAAAGGTGAATGAGTCTGGCAGCCGTATTCAGGATCGACTTAAGCGGGGATAGCCAGCGGCGAGGCAGGCCAGTGAGGAGGGAGTTGCAGTAGTCGAGTCGTGATATGATGAGGGAGTGGATGAGCTGTTTAGTGGTTTCTGGGGTTAGGAACGTGCGGATTTTGGCGATGTTGCGGAGGTGGAGTCTGCACGAGTTTGTTAAAGATTGGACTTGGGGCTGGAAGGATAGGTTGGAGTCCAGAATGACACCAAGTACTCTGGCCTGCAGAGCGGGTTTGATATTGGCGTTGTTGGATGTGATGTAGAAGTCAATGGGGGGGGTGGGGTTCGGGCTGGGGGGAAGACAAGGAGCTCGGTTTTGAAGAGATTCAGTTTAAGGAAGTGGAGCGACATCCAATCTGATATGTCGCTCAGTAGGTGTGTGATTTGGGCAGAGACCGAGGGGGTGAGGTGGGGGGTTGAGAGATAGATTTGTGAGATGAGAGATCCTGCGTAAATTCTAGACTTTGAATGGATGTACGAGAAAGATGGCACACTTTTTAACATTTGAGCAATCAACATCAAAAAGCCCACAAACAAAAAAAAAAAAAGTTACAATGTAAGCAGCAGCGAACTGATACTTAGGTTTCTATTCACTAGGCAATGCACTTACACAGACAGAGAGACAACTTTCATAAATTGCTATGGTTACCACAAACTATGTAATTTACCTTTAATAGCCGATTCTACTCGTTCAAATTCCAAAAATATTCGCACTGCCTCATCATCTGGAGCACCAGGGATCTAGAGACAAAATAAAATAAATACTATATATATAATCTAAAACAATAGTCTGTTTAACTGCCAACCTCTACTGTCTATGTGAGAAGAAACTATAAGAGCACATCAAAGCAAATGGGAAAGTAAGCATTTAACATGTTTGTATTTAAGGATTAAAAAAAAAAAAACTCCTTTAAGTGTTACTAAAGTAAATGATAAAAAAAGAAATTTGACTAAAATAAGAAACGCGTTATACTCAACTGCTCTGTGCAGTGTTATTGCTAATAAAAATACATCAGTCTGTGGGCATGGATGGGTGGGAGTGGATGCGGCAGAGAGCAGTGATTGTTAAAATATGGATACCAGAAACGGAAAAACTAAAGCTAAGGGACTGGCTGGTTAGTAAAAACAGAAGAAGTAGTTCCCCTGACACTACCAGGCTCAAGTATTTCAAAGGGATTTCTACTATTTATACTCCTTGCTACGGACAAGGGCAGATTCTGGTATAGGAAGATATTCAGGGGAATTCATTAACCACTTGCCCTCCTGAGGATTTACCCCCCTTAATGACCAGGCCTCTTTTTGCTACTCGGCGCTGCACTAACTCAACTGATAATTGCGCGGAGTCATGCAATGCTGCACACAAACAAAATTTACGTCCTTTTTTTTCACACAAATAGAGCTTTCTTTCGGTGGTATTTGATCACCTGTGCGCTTTTTATTTTTCACGCTATAAATTAAAAAAAGACCAAAAATTATGAAGAAAAACGATATATTTTACTTTCAGCTATAAAAAAATATATAGTAAATTCAAAGTTAGTTAGAAATTTAGGCCAAAATGCATTTGGCTACATGTTTTTGGTAAAAAAAAATCCCAATAAGTGCATATTGATTGCCTTGTGTGAAAGTTATAGCGTCTACAAACTATGGTATAGATACTGAAATTTACGCCATTTTTTTTGCTATTCAGCGCTGCGCTAGTTTAACGGACAATTGTGCGGTCATGCAGTACGGTACATAAATGAAATATATGTCCTTTTTTTCACACAAATAGAGCTTTCTTTTGGTGGTATTTGATCACCTGTGCACTTTTCATTTTTGGCGCTATAAACAAAAACATTTTAAGAAAAATTTTTTTTTTTTTTTAAAAAACAGTATTTTCTCATTTCGGTCATAAAAAATATCCAAAAAATTAAAATTTTGTCATAAATTTAGGCCAAAATGTATTCTGCTACATATTTTTGGTTAAAAAAATCCCAGTAAGTGTATATTTATTGCTTTGTGTGAAAGTTATAGCGTCTACAAACTATGGTATAGATAATGGAATTTACACAGCTTTTACTTTCTGACTGCTCATCACATTTTTGAGGTGCTAAAATACCAGGATAGTACAAACACCCTCAAATGACCCCTTTTTGGAAAGTAGACACCCTAAGCCAGTGGTTCTTAACCTTGGGGTTCGATCGAACCCCAGGGGTTCGGTGAGTCAGTCTCGTGGGTTCGGCGGAGGTGAAGACCCACACCCGACTCATATGATTCGTGATGACATGCCCCGCTTGTCCATCATTGGCTGCAGGTGGTCACGCAACATCGCTTAGCCCAGTGGTCGGCAAGCCGGGGGCTCGCGAGCCACATGCGGCTCTTTACACGCTTTAATGCGGCTCTTGTGTGCCGGGCGCCCGCTCCCCTCCCCCTCTCGGGCGGCAGGGACTCTGCAGCGTGATCCAAAAAAAAAAAAAAACAGCCAGGGCAGCGTGCTCAAATGCAATGATTGGCCAGTCTCGCTGCCACTCACATCCTGATAGCCAGTGATTGGCTGTCAGGATGTGTGTACGCGGGGCAGCGTGACGAACGTGAGAGGAGCTAGGCTCCTCTCACAGTCCGCCCTGAAGACCGGAACGGCGCGGGAATACGGCGAGAGGAACGCGCGGAGCAAAAGTAAGTGAATTGACACAGGGGGGACTTGGCTTACTACTTACGTAACTACTACTACTATATGAGGGGATGAATTAATATGGGGATGAATTACTATAGGGGGGGATGAATTACTATGGGGGATGAATTACTATATGTATATTTTCAATTGTCAAACCTTTTCACATCTTAAATAATTGGGAATGTCTAGTTCTAATTTATATATATACATATATATATATATATATATATATATACACATATATATATCAGTTTTGAAATATATACTGTATACCATATATTAGTTTGTAGACTCTATATTTGTTCTTTGTTCTTAATAGTTTTGTTCATTTTGTGCACCTATGTATAAATATATACCTATGTTTTTGAATTTTAAAAATCATATTTTATTTTTCCAATTAAGAAGGGTTTGGTGAATGCGCATATGAAACTGGTGGGGTTCAGTACCTCCAAAAAGGTTAAGAACCACTGCCCTAAGCTATCTGCTGAGAGACGTATTGAGTCCATGTAAATATATTGTTTTTTTCCACAAGTTCCTGGAAAAAAATGACAAACTTTTTTTTTTTTTTTTTTTTTTTTACACAAAGTTGTCTTTTTTTTTATTATAAATATTTATTTTTTCAAGTCATATACAAATCATTTCAACATTTCTATTAAAAATAGTTATCTAAACAGTAATTTCTCCTTATATAATTTATTTATTTATATACAGTCATGGCCGAAAATTGTTGGCACCCTTGATATTTCTCCAGGAAATCATGTATTTCTCACGAAACGTATTGCATTAAACACATGTTTTGCTATACACATGTTTATTCCCTTTGTGTGTATTGGGACAAAAACAAAAAAGGGAGGAAAGAAAGCAAATTCGACATAATGTCACACAAACCTCCAAAAATGGCTGGACAAAAGTATTGGCACCCTTTCACAACTGCGGATAAATAAGAATGTTACAAGCATGTGATGCTCCTGTAAACTCACCTGGGGCAAGTAACAGGTGTGGGCAATATAGAAATCACACCTGAAAGCAGATAAAAAGGAGAGACGTTCACTTAACCTTTGCATTGTGTGTCTGTCTGTGCCACACTAAGCATGGACAACAGAAAGAGGAGACGAGAACTGTCTGAGGACCTGAGAACCAAAATTGTGGCAAAATATCAACAATCTCAAGGTTACAAGTCCATCTCCAGAGAACTAGATTTGCCTTTGTCCACAGTGCGCAACATTATCAAGAAGTTTGCAACCCATGGCACTGTAGCTAATCTCCCTGGTCGTGGACGGATGAGGAAAATTGATGAAAGATTGCAACGCAGAATAGTCCGGATGGTGGATAAGCAGCCCCAAACATGTTCCAAAGACATTCAAGCTGTCCTGCAGGCTCAGGGAGCATCAGTGTCAGCGCGAACTATCCGTCGACATTTAAATGAAATGAAACGCTATGGCAGGAGACCCAGGAGGACCCCACTGCTGACACAGAGACATAAAAAAGCAAGACTACAGTTTGCCAAAATGTACTTGAGTAAGCCAAAAGCCTTCTGGGAAAACGTCTTGTGGACAGATGAGACCAAGATAGAGCTTTTCGGTAAAGCACATCATTCTACTGTTTACCGAAAACGGAATGAGGCCTACAAAGAACAAAACACAGTACCTACGGTAAAATATGGTGGAGGTTCAATGATGTTTTGGGGTTGTTTTGCTGCCTCTGGCACTGGGTGCCTTGACTGTGTGCAAGGCATCATGAAATCTGAGGATTACCAAAGGATTTTGGGTCGCACTGTAGGGCCCAGTGTCAGAAAGCTGGGTTTGCGTCCAAGATCCTGGTCTTCCAGCAGGACAGGACAATGACCCCAAACATACGTCAAAAAGCACTCAGAAAATGGATGGCAAAGAAGCGCTGGAGAGTTCTGAAGTGGCCAGCAATGAGCCCCAGATCTAAATCCCATTGAACACCTGTGGAGAGATCTTAAAATTGCTGTTGGAAAAGGTGTCCTTCCAAAAGAGAGACCTGGAGCTGTTTGCAAAGGAAGAGTGGTCCAAAATTCCGGTGAGAGGTGTCAGAAGCTTATTGATGGTTATAGGAAGCGACTGATTTCAGTTATGTTTTCCAAAGGGTGTGCAACCAAATATTAAGTTAAGGGTGCCAATACTTTTGTCCAGCCCATTTTTGGGGTTTTGTGTGACAATTATGTCATATTTGCTTTTTCTGCCTCTGTTTTTATATTTGTTCCAATACATACAAAGGGAATAAACATGTGTATAGCAAAACATGTGTTAATGCAATACCTTTTTTGTGTGAAATACTTGATTTTCAGGAAAAATATCAAGGGTGCCAACAATTTCGGCCATGACTGTATATAACTTCTTTTCCATCCCCCCTCCCGTACACCCCCACTTCTATCTCCCTATCCCCTCCCCTCCTCCCCACTCCCTCCCACGCTCCACCTTTTCTCTTGTCTCGTTAACTCCGTATATTTCTGTTGTTCCTAAACCCTCATTCTAAACCCACTTCCAGGAGTGTTATCTCTTCATATATTTCACCTTTGCTTTATATTCTTCCCAACCTTTCCATTTTTTATTATATATCTCCAACTTGTCCTCATACGTATAGTACAATCTTTCTGTCCTGGATATCTGATTTACTCCATCCATCCAATCCTCCTCAGTTGGCACCTCTCTTTTCTTCCAGTACCTGGGGATCAGACTCTTTGCTGCGGTCAAGTAGTGCCATATCCCTGAACTCTTATATGCTTTTGTTGAGAGTTCTGAGATATGGAGGAAACATAGTTCTGGATCCAATCCTATATTGATTTTAGTAATTTTTCCCTATCAAATAAACTATCCTCCGGCAAAACACCTGTATTTCTGGACACTCCCACCACATATGATACCACGTGCCCACCTCTCGACACCCTCTCCAACACATCTGTGACATTTCCGTATTCATCTTGTGCTCCACGTTAGGGGTAATGTGCCATCTATTTAAACACTTAGTTTATTTCTATTTCCCTCATACTAATATTTTCATGAATTAATGTGAACATTTTCCTCTGCTCCTCCTCCTCTATTTTTCTTCCCATATCTCTTTCCCATTTCTCTATGTGCATTAATTTTGTGTCAGTGTCAAGTTCCATTAGTATCTTGTGTATTTTTGATATTCCGTGTCTACCATTTCCCCGTGACTCAAATATTTTCTCGAATGGATTCCAGTCTTTTCTAGTTCTTATAGGCTTTGGGAGGCTCTCAAAAAAGTACTTCAGTTGGTAGTATCTTAGTCTATCTATCTTATTAAAGACTTCTCTCTTTCTTTCCTCCATATCCTTATATGACCCAATTTCCTCTCCTACCATTATATCTCTCAATTGTGCCTCCTGTTTTATAATCCATTTCCCTGCTATACTGTCCATGCCCGGGATGAAATATTTTGTGTTTCTTAAGTGGTATTAATTGATTGAAGAATTATATAGAGGGCCTACTGCCACCATAATGGTAAATGGAGGAAGATCAGAGCATTTTAAGATGTCAAACGGCACAAGAAAGGGATGTCCCTTGTCTCCATTGTTATATGTGTTATCACTGGAGCCCTTGTTGTCTAGGATTAGGAAGAATATAGATATAAAAGGAATAAAGATAGGAGATAGAGAACATAAGGTAGTGGCATATGCGGATGATCTGATGTTTTATGTTGGAAACCCCAGAACATCACTTCCAAATTTAATGAAAGCATTGAGGGAGTATGGAGAACTGTCAAACCTGAAAATTAACCCGACAAAGACTGAAATCTTAAATATAAACCTTAAAAATAGTGAAAAAGAAAAAACTACAAGAGGAATTTCCTTTCCTTTGGAGAGATAAAGAATTAAAAATATTTAGGAATAAAACTATCAGCCTCAACTAAGAACCTATATAAAGCCAATTATATAGCATTGTTAAATGAGATCAAGGAGGAGCTGAGGAGGGTGGGAAATGGGAATCCATCGTGGATAGGGCGCATAAACCTGATAAAGATGGTAATTGTCCCCAAAGTATTATACAAATTTCAAATGATTCCAATCAAACTCCCAGAGGCATATTTCAAAGAACTTAGGAAAATGATAATAAAATATATATAGAGAAATAAAAAACCTAGAATAGGCTATGAGACGTTGACTAGAAGTAAAGAGAGAGGAGGATTGGGAGTACCAGATTTTAGGAGATACTATAGAGCGGGGATTATAGCGAGAATCTTTGACTGGATCCATAATCCGGAAAAAAGTTGGGTTAAAATTGAGAAAGCACTGAGTGAAATAAGTTTAAGTAAAAGTATTTGGGTACCTGCACAATATAGGGAATTAGAGGAGAGCACTAGCATGTACACTCTTAACGTTTTAAAAGAATGGGATTTACTACATAGACAAAAGGGGTGGGTTTAATTCACAAAGTTGTCATTTAAATGATTTATTTCTCGCACAAGCCATGGGTGTATGTGGAATTACACCCCAAAATACATTCTGCTACTTCTACCGAGTATGGGAATACCATATGTGTGAGACTTTTTGGGAGCCTAGCTACATACAGGAGCCTGAAATCCAATGACCACTTTGAAAGCCTGAAGGTGCGTAACTTCCTCATTTCACTTCCTCAATACCTAATCACAGTTTTCGAAGGCCCCTGACATGCCAGGATTGCACCAAACCCCCCCCCCCCCCCCCCCCCCCCCCCGCAGCTGTGCTCTGTGTCACTGTTTTCCGGCAATCGCAGGGATCCAGCGGGTAATGACCGGCCGGGACCCGGCGATTGACACCCACTGCCGCGCGATCAGCAGGACGGGTAGCGCGGCGCGCCCCCTACCCGTTTTGCAAAATTACGTTTTAAAAACGTGATTTTGCGCAGCGGAGCCGACCTGTCACTGTTTCTCTACAGTGGCTGGTCGGCAAGTGGTTAAGCACTGCCAGCAGTTTTCTGGTGCTATGGCCCTTTAAAATTGGCCTGCGCCAGATTCAAACATCGCCACCAACCTGTGACAGATGCTGCAGTTTCAAGTGGTCCTAAGCTATTAAAGCGCATTAAAGTCCACCCCCCAAAAAATTTACAAATTTGTCTCCTGCAGGTTTATGTCCTAAAATTATATTGTGTAATATAACACAGAAAGCATTACTGCTTCCTTACACTTCTATGCCTGTTTAAATTTCCAGCTTAAGGGAGCCATTCAAAACATATAAATGGCAGCTGTTATTGTTGACTATTAAACAGTTCAATATTTTGCTGATTCAGTGACCGTGACACCTGACATGCACATGCTTACTTGGTCAGTGACCTTCACAGTAAGAAGGTTAAAAAGATGACCACAATGAGTTCAGTATCTGGATTATGGCAGATCTAGAAAGGTTCTATTTAAAGCTGAAATCCTGACAGCTGATAAAACCCCACAATCAGTAGCCCCAACCCCCAAGGCTTTAATGCTCTTTTCGTCTGGGGGCATGCAATAGCTAAAATTACTGACCATATTTCCTCTCTTCAGGCGCCCTCTCTGCCCCATCAGTGGTCCTGCATTAAGATGTCAGGGGCCCACTCACATTCCAGGGCTGAAGTGGGAGCGGAGGAAAGCACCAGTTTGCCAAAGGAGTGGGAAAAAGGGAAGTATTCCTCTCTGTTAAAGCCCAGCTCCAGGCATTAGAAAAAATTATTTCCCTGCCACGGAACCCGTTTAGCCTGGGAGTTTGGATAAGCTTTAATACTTACCTGCTCCTTCCACAGGCTCCCTCCCAGCCAGTTCTCATCACCACACCTCTGGTCACAGGCTTTTTGAAATCATCATATACAGTGATGCAGAAGTATCCTGGTATTTTATTTTACTAGCCATCTGTACAATGTTTCGTTTTCAAACATGTTTTCTTTCAGTAACCAAAGATAACTAACGTAATTAAGCATTGAATGTATTGATAGATACTCACCTTCACTCTGATATGTAGAATATGATAAACTAGGGAAGAACTAAGTAGTGTGATATACAGCAGGTAAAATAAGTATTGAATACATCACCATTTTTCTCAACAAATATATTTTTAAAGGTGCTATTGCCATGAGATTTTCACCACATCGGTAACAACCCATGTAATCCATACATACAAAGAAATCAAAACAAATACGCTCAGAAATTGGGTTATGTGTAATAAAATGGAATGACACAGGAAAAAAGTATTGAACACGCTAACTGAAATGTATTTAATACTTCGTACAAAATCCTTTGTTGTTAATGACAGCTTCAAGATGCCTCCTGTATGGAGAAACAGAGTCGCATGCACTGCTCAGGTGCGGTTTTGGCTCATTCTTCCACACAGTCTTCAAATCTTGAAGGTTCCATTGGCCTCTTCTATGAACTCTGATCTTTAGTTCTTTCCATAGATTTCTATTGGATTCAAGTCAAGTTATTGGCTGGGCCATTCTAGCAGCTTTATTTTATTTGAAACCAACTGAGAGTTTCCTTGTCTACCCTGGCTTTATCTTCATCATCCTGGTAGATGGCAGCAGATTTTTATGAAGAATGTCTTGGTACATTTTTCCATTCATCCTTCCTTCAATGATAAGAAGTTTGCCAGTACCGTATGCTGAAAAACAGCCCCACACCATGATGTTCCCACCTCCAAACTTCACTGTCTGTATGGTGTTTTTGAGGTCATGCGAGTAGTGCCCATTGACCTCCAAACATGGTGTGTAATATGGCATCCAAAGAGTTCAATTTTGGTCTCATCTGACCAGGGACTATATTCTCCCAGTACTTCGCAGGTTTGTCTAAATGTTGTGCAGCAAACTTTTAAACGAGTTTCAAAATGCTTTTTTCTTTAGCAATGGGGTCTTGCATAATGAACTTGCATACAGACTATGGTGGTTGTGAGTGCATTACTTCTTGTTTTCTTTGAAACAATTATACGTTCCAATTCCAGGTCTTTCTGAAGCTCTCCACAAGTTGGTCCTAGGCTCTTGGACAACTCTTCTGAGAATTCTTTTCATTTCTCTGTCAGAAACCTTGTGAGGAGCACCTGGTGGTGGCCACTTTATGGTGAAATAATGTTCTTTCCACTACCGGATTATGGCCCCAACAGTGCTCACTGGACCATTCAGAAGTTTAGAAATCCATTTTGAACTAATGCCATCAGTATGTTTTGCAACAATAAGGCTGCGAAGGTCTTGAGAGCTTTTTGCTTTTACCCCATTATGAGATCTTTCTTGTGCGACACCTTGGTAATGAGACACCTATGTATAGGCCATCAGTTTGAGACTGAACCAGCTGATAATATTTTGCACTGACAAGGGGCAGGATTGTTTTCCAATTACTGATAGATTTCAGCTGGTGTCTTGGCTTTCCATGCCTTTTTGTATCTCCCTTTCTTCATGTGTTCAATACTTTTTCCCTGTGTTATTCCATTTTATTACACATAACTTAATTTCTGAACTTACTTGTTTTGGTCTCTTTGTATGTATGGATTGCATGGGTTGTTACCGACATGTGTGAAAATTTCATGTCAATAGCATATTTAGAAATTTTACTGAGAAAAATGGTGACGTGTTCGAAACTTATTTTACCCGCTGTATATTTGGAAAAATAGGTTGGAATTAAAATCATCAGCAGTGTATTTAGAATGAATAGATAAATCCCAAACAATATAGAATCCTATATCATCGGCCTTTTCTTGTAATACTCTTGAGTACTATTATTTTTATTTAACATATCTGGAAATACGGTATGAACTGGTAAGAAATGTAAGCCCTCCTACTCTTTGGGATAATATTGGACACACAATCCCACCTGGTACCCCAAGTGCATTTTAAATGTGCTTAGGCTGTGCCATGATGCTTCCCAGAGCAGAATTTGTTTGCTCATGGCAAGCAAATGGTATGTTTTACTGAGAAATAGAATATGATTTGGAAAAGCTGACACATGTCCCCTTTTTTTTTTTTTTTACAATAAAAAGGTAAATCTGCTATAAGAAGCATGTTATATTTGTCAAGTGAAATATAAAAAACTAGGAAAATTATGAATACAAGCACATTGATCCATCTTTTTCCACCGACCTCAAAGATGACACATTTTCCAACTTTGCCATATTTTTCACACTCTTCCTTTGTTTCGACTTCTAGATCTTCATCCACTTCCCCTGCACCTACCATATTCTGAGAGGGGAAAAAACAAAGCCAAGTTACAAAAGCCAGTTGCTCAACAACAGATTCCAAACCTAAAAGATGATAAATGCTTGTTCTCACCCGTAATAAAACCACCTTGGTGGGACACTTCAGTATTTCTGTTAAAGGGTTGGGGTCAGCTCCTTTCTTTCCAGCTTCAACTGTAGGACAGGAATGCAACGATTAAGCTTCCAACTGAAATATTGCATGTAGATACACTTGATAATATTTCAAGCTGTAACACATTTATTTAATACACTTCATGTGATCTAAAGAGCTAAGTCAGTGCATATCCTTCAACGCCTTCACGCCACCTCTTAACAGCCCTTTAAAATACAACTAAAAGCAAAAACACTCCTTTTGTCCTGTTTACAGTCATGGCCAAAGTAAATTTCCACATTTCCAATGGGGAACTAGTTTTGGTGACCCAGGGACAACCAGGGATTTCCTCACTTTACAGAGATTTCCTCTCACTTCATGTTTGGGCTATAGTACAGTACGTAAAGAGAAATCTCCCCAATGGACATGGGGGAAGAAGAAGAAAAAAGAAAAAAAAAAAAAACACCTAACATGGGTCCCTAACTCCATCCGAGATGAAAAGGTTTTACCTTTAGGTCTACTTTAAGTTGGCTTTTATACACAGGAGGTGGCACAGCTTCTTTATTGTGACCACTGTGAATGGTTTCTCACAGCAGTCACATTAACGGGAGCCCGTACCACTGTGTCCTCATCAGAAGCCGTGATCGAGAGCGGGTCGGTGAGAGCTCTGTTAGTATGTCGTGACCACATATGCGCAGCAGCTGGGTGTTAAAGCCCATTACACCTGCAGCTGTAAATAAGCGTTACAGTCTGCAAGAGGTTAAGATACAATGGATAACTGCTTTTTAAAGCCTAAGTTTAGTTAAAAAAAGAAAATTAAAAATTAAAGAATGGGCACAAGGATAACATTTCTTGCATTCTCTGACATGTTTCCCTTGTCTTCTATGTCCCCGTTTATCAGAAATCTTTCTCCTCTGATATGGCCGCCCCCCTCACCCTTCCACCTCTGTAATTTGCCAGAATATCAGGGGATAAACAGCACTAAGGGACGTGGTCACAGGCACTTATCACAAGTGCCTAACTATGTCTATCCTTTCCACCCATTCACAGAAGCTGTACTACAGATTCTATGAATGAAGTGTGGGCTATGATTGAAGGGGCAGACGTTTCAATTATACGCTCATCCTCTATTCAGGAAAAGATGTAGTACGGTCTTCTATGCATCAATGAGATGGGTAGAAAGGGAGTGGGACATAGTTGGGCACTATTGATGAGTGCATGTAACAGCTCCCTTAGTTCTTTTAACCCCTGTTGCACCTGACAGAAGGGGTAAAGGGGGCATCAGAGGAGGAAGATTTCTGCTAAACAAGGACAAAGCAGCACAAAAGAGACAACTCACTGAAGGTTAAGTAATGCCCCTTATGCAATTTTGGTTTTGCAAACCCTACACAAGTACCTTCTATATTAACAGACGCTGAAAAAAAAAATGTTAGGCAAATTATTTATAGATTTAATTTAAAAGAAATACCTACATCCTAACTTTTGTATAGGTAAGAGAAAAGAAAAATAAAGATAGCAACAAACCTTTGTCTGCTACATCACCAATGATAATTTTTCCTCCTCTCTTACTGGTTTTTCTCAACAGACAATGCAGTGCTGAGACCCTGTTCATGTTTTCCCAAACCTTGACCTTCCCGGAAGCCATACTTCTGCATGATTTTGTGAGCCACAGTTCCACTGTGAATCAGGAGGAAACACAGAAACAATGAACCAAAGTAAATTCATTACTTCACCACAGCCCTACAGAGCAACTCTCACCAATTCATCTTTTGTCTTCTTGTTGTGTGAAGAATCGTTGCATAGAATTTAAAAAGGGGTTGGGAAGGATATACACATAGATATTTTAACAGTGCATTTAAAATTGCCTTAACATATACTAGTCAGTTCTCATGTCTGAATTTTTATTAAGCAACCAAATATTAAAATTTGTATATGTGTCTGACAACTTATGGTTTTCAACTATCCACTAAAAGAAAAAAATAAAATAAAAATAAAGCAGGAACGTGAAGCAAGTCAGGTCTTTAATCTTACCCCATGTTTGCCAAAAAGGAATTACTAGGCCCAGTTGGAGACCGCGGTCGCTCTGGTTCATCATAAATAGGGGGGAGGAATAGCAGCCTTGGGCGCTGGTGGTCGGGGCCTAGGCTCTTCATCATATGATGGCACTATAGCTAATCTAGAGAAAAAGAAACAGATACAATTAAAAAAAAAACTACACAGAGAAAATGAGCTTCTGCCAAGTCCTGTTCTATCAGTACTCCCACTTTATAATTTACATCACATCAAGAGTCAAACATGGTAACCAAGGATGGTCTTACACAGAGATCACACCATGGTGCAGAGACGTCAGTTTTTCTACATGTGTTCTGCAAGGGCACAACTAAATCAATTTCTCTCTGTGCCCTCTTCACACCACAACACTAATATCATGTACAGATTTCTGCACAGGAATCAGTTTTCATGTGCACTCCTATGAGGTTTATTACATGTTGCAGAGGTCTCTGCAAGTGAAATCTGCATGTCAGTTTCCATCAGTATTTCTGCACGTATGGTGTAAACGAGGCCTTAATTGCCTCCATTCCCATTATACAGCAAGGATGGACGAATCTGCTTGCTGGGCTATTTGACTGGATGCAGATGTTATTCCACTGACAATTTTCCATCCGGCTCTTTCGATTTTTCAAATCAATGGATGTCAGGCAGGAGTGTGCCAACAGGGCCACCCAAAGCAGCAAATTTCAGACAGTTTAACCAATACCCACTGAAAAGCAATACACAGTGGATCACTCTTCAGAAGGCAACGCTAGTGTAAATTATCACTAACCGAGAGCTCAGCATGGAGGGTTCATCACAATAGCACTCCCACATTTGTGATGCAAACAGAGGGAATGGAAAGACATGTTTGGATGCTGTGTGACATGGAGCAAGCAGTTGCCTGGAGATGGAGGAATCAATCAGCTGTGACACTACAAACTGCAGCCTCAACATTAGAAGGCAAGGCAAACAAACAGCACCGGGAATAGAACTACACTAATACCTAGATAAAGCAACAAAAACACTTGAAAGCTTAGTAGGTCATTACATTTTTCAAATGTTGAAAAGTAAAATTTCAGGGGTTTTGTCTCCTTAAATATTTATCTTGCTTTTGTAAGAGGATGCAATTTCCTAAAGTGGGAGCAAGCAGCCACACCATAAAAAAATCTGATGTGCGAATGTTAAAATGTCTGGATTGGTTAAGAATATCTGTAAATGGCCTGTTAACAGTAGCAAAACCATGCAACAGAGCCATGGCTTGTATGATTACCACACTTATACTAGGTTTTATGTGTGCATACTACAGGAAAACCCAGGAACAAGCATGGCACACTATTTCACCCTGTAAGGATGTCATGGACTCCATCTAGTGGCAGTACAGAGTAAGGCTGGCCATACATTATACAAATATCTTCCAATTTTCTGCCCAATTTCCTTTAGATTTACCTTCAACTGTGTAGTGCAAGGGCCTGCCTAGTTGGATAAAACTGAAAGTGTTGTTTAGGTTTGTCCTCCTATTATATGGTTTTTGTTAAATCTAAACCAAAAATCTCCAGATAATTGTATAATGTATGGCCAGCCTAAGTTACTGTATGCCTTTACAAAATAATTTAGAGTGGGTGACTGGGGTCAAAGAGAAGGCTAATTTATTAAATACCTTCTTCAGTTCTGTGTATACAAGGGAGCATGGGGGGTGCTCATGTCCCATAATAGTGATGATATTGACACTATATATTTTTCGACCATATCAGTCGACACTATATCAGACAGAATAAAGCACCTGGGCCAGATGGCATTGTGTCCTTAAAGCGGAGATCCAGCTGAAAAAATAAAAACATAAACGTCAGCAGCTACAAAAACTGCTGCTGACTTTTAAAATACAGACACTTACCTGTCCCTCAGTCCAGCGGTGTCCTTACCACGGCTGGTTTCACTGGCATCTTCAATGTGGACACCTGGCTGTGACAGCTTGCGGCTTCAAAGCCAAGTGCCCACTGCGCATGCGTGAGAGGTGCTGCGCTTTCTGAATGTCTCTGTAGTCTTCTGCAACCTGTCAAGTGTCCCAAAAGACTACGGGGAGAGAAGGGGGATGAGGACAACTTCCGCTTCCGATTGCCTAGGCGATTGCAGCGGAAGCGGTAATCTGTCAAATTCAGGTACCTGCTCCCCCCCCCTCAAAGGTGCCAATCCTTAATGTGAAGCGGGGGGACAAAGGCTTAAAGTGGAACTTCCCCTTTTGGGTTGAGCTCAGATTTAAAGAATTGAGCCCTGTCATTTTAAAGCCATTGTTTCTAATTTTTAGGGACTCTTTAATGACTGGCATAGTACCACTGGATTGGTGTAGTGCCAATGTGGTGCCTATATCTAAAAAGGGATCAAAGTCTTTACCAAGTAACTACAGAGGTAAGCAAGACTTTGGACAAAGGGTTGGCTGTGGATAGCGTATACTTGGATTTTTCAGAGACATTTTTAACACAGTTTCCCACATACAGTTTACCCTCATACCTTCCACCCACTTCCAGGTGCAGCATTTTTACATGAAATGCAGTCAGTAATCACTGTTCTCACTAAATACACAGCCATCGCTTTTTATTTTTCTACTTTAACTTCCATCCTCCATAGATCATTAATTTGGCAGAGTGTGCTGAGTGAACAGATAACAGCCTATGTGGATAGAGCTGTAGTGCTGAAAACAGGAGAATTGTGTTCTGCATTCTGCAAAGTTCACATATACACACTATACAATCCGATTGTACAATCTCCTTTAGATCTACCATCAACTATGTAGTGCAAGGGCCTGCCTAATTGGATACAGAGTGATTGGGTAGATAGGTGGATCCTCCTATTCCATAGTTCTGGAAAATCTAAAAGGAAATTGTACAGAGATTGTACAATCAAAACATCCCCAGTTTTCCCATTAGTTCTAATTAATGTCATATGTTTCAATTACTGTTGATTTTTATTGGGTTTTTACCTCAACAGCACTTTCATTTTCACTAGTGCTGTGATTACTGCACTATCCATTTTGGAAGGAAGCCGTTTGTTTACAGTTTAAAAAGTGCATATACATTGTAAAATACTGCACAAGTTGTTTTGTGGACTAAATTATGTTTCGAAAAATAAATTATTTTTGGGTTGCGACTTAATGACCAAGGACAAATGTGGGTCCTGAGGGTCCACAGGTAGAGAACCACTGGTATAGTGTATGTGAACTTTACAGAACCCAGAACACAATTCTCCTGGTTTTCAATAAGACAGCTCTATCCACATATATGTTCAGTCAGCACACTATGCCAAATGAATGATCTAAGCAAGATGAAAGTTAAGATAGAAAAATAAAAAACAAATCAATCTCTCTGTATTTAGTGAGAACAGTGATCTCTGATTGATTGCTTTTCATTTAATATTTGAGCACCTGGAAGTGGGTGGAAGGTAGAAGGGTAGATGATGCTGGGTGGGCAGGTCAATTCCTTCCTCTGTCATGACCTAAAGTTGCTGCAGAAAATAAGGCAGAAGTAATGGAAAAGCATTTTTGTATAGCCATCTGGACGCTGACATAAAGGTGGGTAGAAAAAAAATGGAAAGCTTTTGAATTTCTGCAAAAGAGTACATTAATGTGATATTGGTACATAGGAGAGCTGGAATTTAGGGAAAACAAAAAGGTGAACTTATCCTTTAATGTTGATTATTATTATTATACAGGATTTAAATAGTGCCAACAGTTTCCTCAGTGCTGTACATTACAATGGGAGACAGTACACGAGACAGTACAGTAACAATACGATTCAATACACGAGGGGTTCGAGGGCCCTGTTCCTTGGAGCTTGATAAATGTAAAGTTATGCAGACTCCAGTGAGGGAGATACCATTTTGCCCCTGCACAAATCATTAGTTAGACCTCAACTGGAATATGCAATTCGGTTTTTTGGCACCAATTCACAAAAAGAACATTGGGGAACTGGAGAAAGTGCAGAGAAGCGCAACCAAACTGATAAGAGGCCCAAAGGAGCTCAGCTATGAGGAAAGATTAGAGGAACTGAATTTATTCTCTCTTGAGAAGAGGAGATTAAGGGGGATATGATCAACATGTATAAATACATCAGTGGTTCATACAGTGAACTCGGTGTAGAACTATTCACCCTGAGGTCATCACAGAGGAAAAAAGGGCACTCTTTACATCTGGAGGAAAAGAAATTTAATCTCCAGACACGGAAAGGTTTCTTAGTAGGAGCTGTGAAAATGTGGAATAGACTCCCTCAAGATTTGATTCTGGACAGCTCAGTAGATTGCTTTAAAAAAAGGCCTGGATAATTTTTTTTTTTCCCTTTTATGGTTGAACTAGATGGACTTGTGTCATTTTTCAGCCAGACTACTTATGTGAACTAAAGTCACAACAATACTCACATTCCCTGTCCTTCTCAACGAGAGATGTAGGTGGTGCGATAGCTGCGCCTCCCACCGCTGTAAAAAAAAAAAAAAAAAAAAAAAAATGAATAATAAATTAAAAGCAAATAATGTATTACATTCACAAATATACATTCTATTTTATATGTATTTTAAGGGCATAAAGTAACAAAAAGGTACAAAATTTTAAGCTGGATGCAAGAAAATCAGGTACAGATTTTGTATGTACAAAAGTGTTCAATCCTACCAAATGCAGAAGGGACTGTGAGGAAAAGGGGACAGGAAAAAAAAAAAAAAGTACCTATTATTGTATTTACTATTATATACTGCAAAATGTAGGAAACCCCAGAAATGCAGTATGACTGTTCTATTTTTATTCTATAAAAATGTTTTTCTTAAATGATTCATTAATATGTATGCATTCATTTGAGTTCACAAATCATTTTTCTTTTTGGGCACACTTGCCCTTGAGAAGTTGGCCCAGAGTTAGCCATCAGCTCATGTCATCTCTTAGTAATACGGATAACGTAAGATTGATGTCTGTGCTCAATTCAACACGCGGACATTAAATCTCTTAAATCCCAACCGGGGGGTGGTTGTGGTGGTGTTAAGGGTTGGGTTAAGTACGTACTACTTTCTCTTATGATAAGTAATAACTAATCTTTTCCTTTTACAATTCTGAGGACAATCTCTACTGATATTCTATTATGCACAATTTATAAACCAAACAACAAATTTCAGAAATGGGGTTATATATATATATAAAAAAAAAAAAAAATTGTATTTGAGAAACAATCATATATGTTACAAAAATCAGTCAAAAATGCTTTATTTTTTTAACTCTGTCACAAAGCCAAATTCATGTCAAATGTTTCAGCTTGAAACATATTAACCACTAGCCTACAGTGCATTTATACCCCCTTCCTGCCCAGGCCAATTTCCAGCTTTCAGCGCTGTTGCACTTTGAATGACAATTGCGCAGTCATGCAACATTGTACCCATATGAAATTTTTATCATTTTTTTTTTACAGATAGAGCTTTATTTTGGTGGTATTTAATCACCTCTGGGTTTTTTATTTTTTCTTAAACCAAAAAACACTGAAAATTTTAAAAAACAAAAAGTTTTTTCTTAGTTTTTATTATAAAATTTTGTAAATAAGTGATTTTTCTCCTTCACTGATGTGCGCTAATGAGGCTGCACTGATGGTCACTGATAGACACTGATGAAGAGGCACTGGTAGGTGGCACTGATGGGCACTGACAGGCATCACTGATGGGCACTGAAAGGCAGCACTCATATATGGCACTGATAGGCAGCACTGACGGGCACTGATAGTCGGCACTGAAAGGCACTGAAAGGCAGCTCAGATGTGCACTGATATGTGGCACTGGCAATGTGGCACTGGCAGGTGGCACTGGCAGGTGGCATGGATGAGCACTGATGGACACTGACAGGTGGCGCTGCTGGGGCTACACTGATCATCAGCGCACACTGATTATCAGTGCTCTGATGATCTGTGTACATGTCCCCTCCGAGAAATACTGATTAGCGGCTGTACTGTCCTCACGAGTTGTCAGCGTGACAGCTTGTGAGGAGAGAAATGCCGTTAACCGGCATTTCCCTGTTTACATGTGATCAGCTGTGATTGGACACAGCTGATCACATGACCAAGCAGACATCTTTGGCTCTTTCCGTGGATTGGTGAGCCGCGCATGCGCGGTGAATGAATGGGAGGACGTCATATGATGTCCTCTCAGAACGAGAGAACCACCTTGCGTCTGTCATATTAACTATATGGCGGGCGGGAGGCGGTTAATTTCCTGACCCTCAGATCACAGAACAGTACCAGAGCAGCATGTTCAGTCACAGTGCATCTGAACGGTTGAGCGACACTGCCTCACAGGGAGCATGTGGCCCTAGGAGTCAATGAACAGCTGCTTTCACTGTGGTGTGCCTGCCATCCTATCACAGTCCCAGTATAAGTCGCCATTACAATATAGTGTCTATAGCGGTGTAAATTCCATTATATATGCCATAGTTTGTAGACGCTATAAATTTTGCACAAACTGATTAATATACACTTATTGGAATATTTGTTTTACCAAAGACATGTAGCAGAATACATTTTGGCCTAAATCAATAAGAGATTCTTTTGATGAATATGTATTATAACAGAAAGTAGAAAATATAGTTTTTTCTTTCAAAATGTCCAGGTCTTTTTTCATTTATATAATAAAAAAAAAAAACAACAAAAAAAAACAAAAAACAGAGGTGATCAAATACCTTCAAAAAACAAAGCTCTATTTGTGTGAAAAAGTATATATTTTTTTGGTACAGTGTTGCATAACTGCAAAATTGGCAGTTAAAGTAGCACAGAGCTGAATAGCAAAAAATTGCCCTGGTCATGGTGGGGGTAAAACCTTCTGGAGATCAAGTTTAATAATAAGGACAAAATTAATATTTCTGGACTATAAAGACTCGAACAAAAAGATACAAACTGAAGCATTATTAGACAAATGTACGATCCATAAGCAGGCCAAAATCTGCACTTAATTGCTTAATCAGCTTAATTGCTGATTGGTTGAAATACAAGAATTACCAAATAGAACAATCTGACTATTTAAAGGACAAGTTCACCTTTGAGAACAAGCTAACATGTTCCACTGCCTTCTTCACCCACCCCTTCCCCCATGGACAGCAGTACAGGGAGAAGTTCCCTGTACTAGCTGTCACACGTCGTAGTTCATTCGTTCACAGAACTCTGTGAATGAATAACGCAAAGTACCAATATTCTTTGCAGATGACAGCTTGTAATTCTCAATGAACTTCCATGGCGCTGTGTAGCGCCATGGTAGTTCACTGATTCTTCCAGTCAGGGTATCGGTTTGCCTGTACGGGATGTAGGGGAAAGCAGATATACTGATAGGTTTGCAGGAGACCTGCATGGCATCAGCGATCTGCTGATCATTATCATGATGCAATGCTTTACAGGTTCCTGCAACAAAAAAAAATAAAAGTCAAAATTTTTTACCTGCGAAAAAAAATGTGCATTTATTTGTTGTCAAAAGGTGAACTTATCCTTTAACTTGGAATAATGAAAAGGGCAGGAAAAAGGAAAAAAAAAAACAGAAAAGGCCTAGAATGACTGCAAGTGTGCTCAGACAAAGTCATCATCAAAATATCTATGCCAGTAATGTTATGTGCGAAATAATTATTTCAAATAAATAACAGTAAGTCCCTGGGAGCATGTTCGCAAGTCCAACAAAGATCAACGCTTGCAGGCTGTGAACACTGAGCAGTGTGTTCTGGTGGGGGTATCCCCCCTGTCTGAACACTAAGCAGGGGAGATTGTTGTGCCAACATTGCTTGTGTTAGTACTTTTGTTCAGCTTGCTGGGTTAACCACTTGAGCCCCAGAGGATTTACCCCCGTTAATGACCAGGCCTTTTTTTGCTGTTTGGCGCTGCACTAATTCAAATGATAATTGCACGGTCATGCAATGCTGTACCCAAACGAAATTTACGTCCTTTTTTTTCACACAAATAGAGCTTTCTTTTGGTGGTATTTTATCACCTGTACGCTTTTTATTTTTTGCGCTATAAAACAAAAAAACCACGAAAATTTTGAAAAAAAAAAACAATATTTTCTACTTTCAGCTATAAAAAATATAACGTAAACTCAAAGTTAGTCATAAATTTAAGCCAAAATGTATTCTGCTACATGTTTTTGGTAAAAAAAAATCCCAATAAGTGTATATTGATTGCTTTGTGTAAAAGTTATAGCATCTACAAACTATGGTATAGATACTGTAATTTATGCCTTTTTTTTGCTATACAGCGCTGCACTAACTCAAATGATAATTGCGCGGACAGGTCATGCAATGCTGCACCCAAACGAAAATTACGTCCTTTTTTTCACACAAATAGAGCTTTCTTTTGGTGGTATTTGATCACCTGTGCGCATTTTATTTTTTGCGGTATAAACAAAAAAATCACGAAAATTTTGAAAAAAAAATAATATTTTCTACTTTCAGCTATAAAAAATATTAATTGTAAACTCAAAGTTAGTCATAAATTTAAGCCAAAATGTATTCTGCTACATGTTTTTGGTAAAAAAAATCCCGTGCATTAGCGGGCAAACTGGCGCTATCTAGGAGGGGCGCTAACACTATCGGAAGTCACCAGTGACACTAATACAGTGATCAGTAAAAATCTGTTCACTGTAATCAATGACACTGGACGGACAGGGCAGTGAAGGGGTTAACTGGGGGGGGCGATCAAGGGGTTAAATGGGATTTCTGGTGCACTAGCGGGCAAACTGGCGCTATCTGGGAGGGACGCTAACACTATCGGAAGTCGCCAGCGACACTGATATAGTGATCAGTAAAAATCTGTTCACCGATCAATGACACTGGTGACAGGGCAGTGAAGGGGTCAACTCAGGGGGGGCGATCAAGGGGTTAGACAGGATTATTGGTGTACTGGCGGGCAATCTGGCGCTATCAGGGAGGGGCGCTAACACTATCGGAAGTCGCCAGCGACACTGATACAGTGATCAGTAAAAATCGGTTCACTGATCAGTGACACTGGTGACAGGGCAGTGAAGGGGTTAACTGGTTAACTGGGGGAGGGGGGGGATTAAGGGGTTAAATGGGATTACTGGTGTACTGGCGGGCAATCTGGCGCTATCTGGGAGGGGCGCTAACACTATCGGAAGTCGCCAGCGACACTGATACAGTGATCAGTAAAAATTTGTTCACTGATCAGTGACACTGGTGACAGGGCAGTGAAGGGGTTAACTGGGGGGGGGGGGGGGCGATCAAGGGGTTAAAACGGGATTACTGGTGTACTGGCGGGCAAACTGGCGCTATCTGGGAGGGGCGCTAACACTATCGGAAGTCGCCAGCGACACTGATACAGTGATTAGTAAAAAATTGGTTCACTGATCAGTGACACGGCAGTGAAGGGGTTAACTGGGGGGGGGGGGGATCAAGGGGTTAAACGGGATTACTGGTGTACTGGCGGGCAATCTGCCGCTATCTGGAGGGGGCGCTAACTCTATCGGAAGTCGCCAGTGACACTGATCAGTAAAAATCGCTTCACTGATCAGTGACACTGGTGACAGGGGCAGTGAAGGGGTTAACTGGGGGGGGGGGCGATCAGGGGGTTAAATGTGTCCTAGAGTGTTCTAACTGTAGTGTAGTGCTTGTGTACTCACTTTTTGGATGTCTTCTTCTCTGTCTGGAACGGAATGTGTCCAGGCAGAGAAGAATGACATCATATCCTGCCCTGTGTATTTGTCAACACAGGACAGGATAGGACAGGGACCGATCATGTGATTTCAGCCAGAAATCACTGGCTGAATCTAATGATTGATCCCTCCTGGATCAAATCGTGTCACCCGCGGGTCGGCGGGAGTGGCGAAAGTGTCGGGAGCGTGGAACCCGTTTTAAAACGTGGTTTTGCGCTCCACTGCCGCCCTGCACATGTATATACACAGTGGCAGGGCGGCAAGCGGTTAAAACAAAAAACGAATGTGTGTACAGGACATGCACATGTACACATCTTTAAAAGTTAGCAATCTGAACATTCATATATAGGGGACCTGCTGTAGTTTATTTAGAAAACCAAAACAATGATTAATGAATATGTGCAAACTAGGAAACACATTGCACACATCCATTTCATCTAAGGCAGAATATAGACAAGGGGCTTTATACACAGTTTAGATATGTGTGTGTGTGAGCAAATTTACATGCCAAAAGGTGTTTAATTCTGTTTAACCACCACTGAGTGGTTTAAGAGGATAAAACTATAGCAAAATTTTCCTGTATGTTAATTACCTATAGTGATGGGATAAATTATACAAATTCATTTTTAATTCTGCCTTAATGCAATTTTGTCCTTAAAAGATAAGGTCACCTTTTAGACAAAAATAATAACATACACATTTTTTTTTCGCAGGTAAAAAAGTGTGCATTTATTATTTTTGTCTATAGGAGTCTGGAAAGCATTGCACCAGCAATCAGTAGCTTGCTGGTGCCAAGCAGGTCTCCTGCAGATCGGTCGTACATCTCGTATGGCAAGCAGATAATGTGATAGGAAGCTTCAATGAACTACCACGGCGCTCCACAGCGCCTCTAAGGCTGTCGGGATTCGCAGTTCACTCATTCACAGAAGTGCGTGAATGAATGAATGACGCGGCCGTGTGGGCGGAGACCTGCACGGTCTCAAAGTTTTCAAATTTGACAGATAGCACCGCAAGAACGCCCAGTACTATCTTTCAGAGGGAGGGGGGTGGCAGCTATTGAAACATGTTACATGTTCCACCCTAAAAATAGGTGGAACATGTAACTTGTTTCCAAAAGGTAAACTTATCCTTTCATTTTACTTTTACTTTTTACTTCCAAATTCCTTTTCTGTTTGATTTACAAGATTCACTCAGCCCAAAAAGAAAAAAACACAAAACAGGACCCTGGTCTAATGTTTTATTTTTTTTGTAAGGCTCGGTTCGCATCTAGGAGTTTTGTATCACGGACAAAATCACTGCAATTCTGCCCACAATCCCAAAATGCTCTGCATAACAAATCGCACCATGCTTGTTTAGATGCCATTCATTTTCAATGGCACCTAAATGCAGGTGCGATTGCGGCGAGACACATCTCGCTGCATTCACAGCACAATTGCACCTGCATTTAGATGCCATTGAAAATGAATGGCACCTGAACATGTGTGGTGCTATGGTCAGTGTTAATGAGCAATTTGGGATCACGGGCAGAATTGCGACAATTTTGTCCACGATACTAAAGTCTAGATGTGAACGGAGCCTGACAGTTAAAGCACTACACTTTGCTCAAGGATCCAGTCTGTAAATGGTAGCAAGGGAGCAGCACCACACTTTGAGGTTTTTCTTTGCTCTCTCTCCCCCGTTCAGCAAACACTAATTGGCTTACAGAGTCCTGAATATCCCTGTGCAGGGGAATACAGAGATGACATTAAAGCATATTCAACTAATACATACATAACAGTACATTTAAGGATTTTTAATGTGTACTTACTTGGATTCAAAATGGGCATTTTATATCTGCCTAAAAGTTCTGCGTCTAAGTTGTACTTTTACCCAAACTGAAAAATGTAATATATTACAATCATTCGATGTGGTGGTGGCTACATTAGTTTTCTTTTTCAGGTTTTTTCCTTGTTTTCACCTGGTGATCTGACTAGTAACACACCTCCTGTATTAGAGTGCCCCCCATGCTGGATAAAGGAACACAGGGGCACCTGTGGAAAGCAGCATTATCAGGGGGAAAGGAAGTGTTAGATATGGTAGCAGATTTAGATACGCTAACAAATTGAAGCCAAACTCCAGTTCACACTGCAGTTACAGAAACATTTTTTTGGGGGGGATAAAGATTTTACATGAATAAAGACGGACCATTGTAAGCATCCCTGTCAGTAGTAAATGGTTTGGTAAATGCTACATTTGCAAGAGAGTTTGTTCTGTTGAAAAACAGACTTACTGGCTGAATTACCAGATGAAAATAATGAAAACAAAGCTTAAAATAAAACTAATGCAGCCACCACATCTAAGAATTAGTAAACTGCAATATAAAACATTTGCATTTGGGTTTAATACTGCTTTAAATCAGGGAGAAGTGACATCAAACAGATTTATATGAGTTACTGCACATCCATTAATAGCAAAGGTATACCAATGAACAGCAAATTACATGAGTAAGCAACACATGTGTATGAAATGAAAATAGAATGTTTAAACCTTTTCATACTATGTTGGAACAATGGTTAAAAATAACTTACGCCTCTTACGCCTTTCTCTTTCATACTCTTCATCCTCATCAGATTCAGGGTCAGGTCTACGAGAAAATCCGCTAGCTTCATGACGATCCTTACGCCTCCTTAATAATAGCAGCACAGTATGTGAATACAGAACACAAATATGAGCATACACACGCGTGTGGATGCAATGTATAACATGCTTTAACCACATCCATGTGTAATACAACAACAAAACACATTATATGAAGTGTTCAGAGTATTTCCAAAGGGTGATGTTAATATTTAAAATGGCTGTAAAGGCTCAAGGTTTTTTACATTTATGCGTTCTACGCATGAAGGTAAAAAACCTTCAGTGTGCAGCAGCGCTCCAAATACTTACCTAGGCCCCACTGTGATCCAGCGAGAGCCTCGGCTCTCCAGGGTCTTTCCCTCCGCACTGGCTCCCGCTGCTGTCAATCACATCCAGTGAGCCAATGAGGAAAAAGAGGGGGCGGGACCATGGCTGTGTGTGAGAATGGATATGCTATTTGGTGCCCCCGTAGCAAGCTGTTTGCTCTGGGGGCACTAGGCAGGAGGGCCAGGAGCGGGACCTGAGAAGAGGAGGATCAGGGCTGCTCTTAGTGTTTTTTGGAGCACAATTGTGCATTATTGCAGCTTTTGTCAGGTGTTTTTCAACTAAAAGGTATGGAGTCTTACTGAAAAAGAGGCACAAAGCTGCTGTTTAAGCAGAAAATGTGTGCCAAAATGCTTGAAAATGCACATATCATGCTTTTCACGCATTTTCATTGAAGTCTATGGGGACAAAGGCTAAATTCAGCCTAAAAATTAGCTCATGCACATTGTGTGACAGGTGTTTTGCTACAAGCAACAGGGCTATTGAAAACCATAAGTTTTTGCTTGTTGAGCTTCAAGCTACAAAATGCTCAAGTGTGAATGGGGCCTTAAAGTCATAAAAGACACCAGAGACCTAAAATAGTTACTGGGGATGTAAAAACTGCTATTGTTGTGTCCTGTTGTGGCCTTAATGAGAAGATCAGGCAGTATCAGCAGTACTCACCCTCTCCCCAAAACCATCAGGCTACATGAACAGATACCATAGGATGCCAGAATAGTGGCTGCTGAAGCCAAGTTATTTCAGGCATCCGATACCTTTTAGGAATTAATGAGATCATCACTTCTTAAAAGGTAAATGTTAGTCTCTTACTTGCACACCCCAAAACCACCTATACTTACAGTCCCTGCTAATCTCTGTTCAATAGTTTAACCCTGAATTAGCGCAGTCTCTGATTTTAATGCAGTTTACACAGGGTTAATGACAATGTCATCTTAGTTAAAAGTGTTCTGATCTGGTGACTGGCTTCTCATTACTAGGCACTGTATCCTAGTCACATGCTTCTCCATACCTGTAAGCATCAAGGTATTGATGGTTCTCATAGGCAAAGTGAGCAGTGTAGATTTATTCATACAGCTTTAAATACATACCTTAAAAACAACATAAAAACAATGGAGAATGACTTTATCCATATTTAGTAGGTTGTCGATAGCGTGTAAGCTGAGCACTTATACCAGCAGGAAATAAATGACCTTGCTGCTCAATCAGCTGGCTTAATCATGCACAAGCAAACTGCACATGCAAAGATTACGGGTATTAAAATGAATCCCTCTCTTCAGCAAGCGGCTTAGATGATATTTTTTTTTTCTACTATAACCAATCTGAGTTGTGTAATCCAGCAGCTTCTGTTATTAGACATTTTATAGTATATGCTGAAGAAAGCAAGTCACTTTTCTACAATAAAAAAATTATATAATAATTATTGACCTTTTTCAGATTTGTTCATTATTACGGTTTTATTTTTATAGCACCAACATATTCTGTACTACTTGGCAAAAGGCTACTCTCCAAACAGTAAAATATAAAACACAAGTACAAATAAGTATATTGCTTGCTGGAGTATTTATTGTTATAGGAAAAAGGTCAATATACAAAAAAATATATATAAAATCTTTAGAATACCTCACCCCGTAAAGCCAAAGGGTAATAAGAGTTTATTTAAGCACCCCATAGCTTAACCAGGACATGTCATACAATTTTCTAGTGAATGAAGCAACTGCGTACCTCAGAAGCACTCAACACTAGAAGAAAATAAAGAATTAAACATCACGCCTTCAATATGAACCTTCTTCTGTTATGTCATTGTGTATTCCTAATAAAGTAAGTGCCATCCAGTGAACTGCTAGCATTAGCTTACAGGCCCAATGGATTCCATTGCACGAAGGCAAGGTGTGCATTGCCTTGTAAATGTGGAACCTGACACTGATGTTTGGTGCCATTTTACTCAGTACAGTAAAACAAGCCCTACTTCAGAATAATGAACCCTAAAAGCAGAAGGCAAAAAGACCTCCCCATTTTCTGCCTGAGCTGCATTCAGCGTACCAGAGTCATGCAGGGCTCAGGCATTGTTTTTTACAGGGGTCGCAAACTTTCCAATGGGAGTAGAAAATGTCCTGGTGTTAGTGGGAATAAACAATGCCTCATCATTGGCGTCAGTGGTAGGAATAGTGCCCCATCATTGGTGTCATTAGGAGAAATTCTTCCCCGTCACTGGTGACAGTGGGAGGGCATATGCTCAATTGTTGGTGTCAATGGGAGGAATTGTGCCCCCTCATTGGTGCCATTGGAAGGACATATACCCAATTGTTGGTGTCAATAAGAAGACACATGCCCAATTGTTGGTGTAATTAGCAGGAATTGTGCCCATCATTGGTGTAAGTGGGAAGACATATGCCCAATTGTTGGTGTCATTGGAATTGTGTATCCTCATTGGTAGGACATATGCCCAATTGTTGCTATCAATAGGAGGACGCATGCCAATTGTTGATGTCAGCGGATGGAACAGTGCCCCAAGGGCTGGACAGAAGCAAAGGGCCACAGTTTGGAGACCACTGGTTTAGTACAGTATAAATATAAAAGGCGCTTACTTTTCTCGCTCTTCAATTTCTTTTTGCCTTTCTATTTCTCTTTGCCGCTGTCTCTCCTCCCGCTGCCGTTTGACCACTTTTTCAAATTCATTAGGGTACATAGGGTCATACTCATCTGCCAATGGAACCAATACATCCCCAGTAGAGAATCCACTTGGAACAGGCTCCTACAAAAACAAACATGTATACATGCAAGCAAAATTACCTGATAATTATAGAAACAAACAATATACACATACCTTTTGAAAACTGCTTTTAAAACTGCAAATCTGTACAAAGTGGAGTGTGCCATACACTCACCTATTAGACACATTAGATTATGTATGCAGAAAGCAGTTAGTAAAATAGGTGGAGACTTGGGGAAAAATAAATATTCTTTGCTTCTACTGGAGCTGTGGATGATATCCCGTGGGAAGAAATGTGTTGATTAGAGCTTTGCAAACTTACATCACATGCTGTTGGTTCTTTCAGCGTGACAGTGTTTTATGCAAGGTATGATCTGTGGACTTATTTTATTGTAATAAGAGGATTTTTAAAATAAAATACTGCACTATGAGAGTATTCCTCTGTTATAGGAACACTATTACAGTGGTCTACAAACTGCAGCCCGGGGGCCGAATGTGGCCCTTTGCTTGTCTTCATCCAGCCCTTGGGGCACTATTTTATCCACTGACACCAACAATGGGGCATCATTTCTGTTGCTGACACCAACAGTGGGTCAGTATTCCTTCCACGGACACCACTGAAAGGGCACAATTCCTCCCATTGACACTAACAACGGGGCATAACTCCTTCCAGTGATACCAACGATGGGCTAATATACCTCCCACTGACACAACATAAACAGGGAGGCAATATTCCTCCTACTGACACCAAAGAAAGGGCACAATTCACCCACTGACACCAATGATGGGGCACTACTCTGCCCACTGACACCAACAATGGGGCACTAGTCCTCCCACTGAGAACGATGGGGCACTAGTTCTCCTACTGACAAAGATAGGGCATTGTTTACACCCTCTGGATGCCAGGCCATTTTCTATTCCCACTGACCCTAGTCTGGCCCCCCCTAAATTCTCAAGGACAGTAAACTGGCCCTTAGTTTAGAAAGTTTGGAGACCCCTGCTGTATTGAATAGATTATGTTCTGGATGTGGCAGATCGATTGTACTTGCAACTTCCTGAGATTACCTACTGCAATGCCTCTAAAAATGCAGTGAGGCCTTGGATTTCTGAGAGTGTACATCTTGATTCCTGGTGAAGGTGGTGATCTGTCACTGAAACTGAATTGTAGGTTTTGGTCAAAATTGGATTGCATATATCACTAGCATACTTTGACCTCCTTTAATTGTTTGAGGTCTACACATCTGGTGAGTGGTGGCACTGATACTATGTAAAAGAAATACAATCTTTCAAAGATTAGATTTGTGAAAAAGGTCTCACTCCTAGCGCAGTAACCTTGCTATACATCAAATGGGTATTTTTGCTAACTCTTTGTAAATCCTTTAAAAAGTTCATCACTTTTAACTTGGCACTTCAATGTTTCTTCCAGATGTCATAACAGCAATCAAATTTTTTTCTTAATAACAGTTCCAAAATAACAGCAATAATGGTACCTTTAGTCCAGCGGCCACATGGGGTGGAGTATCAACAATCTGTCGGTCATCGGCACTGGCTCTTTTAAGGTCAATAACAGGTGCCAGTACCGTGCTCTGTTTTGTTCTTTGAGTCTGGGGAAAAAAATAAAAATATAGTGTCTGAATATTTACCCTAATTTTGTTTTGATGGTACAAATATAGGCAGTGCAACTTTTTTTGTAGATTTTTTTTTAAACTTATTTAGTTCTACTTAAATTAAATCAAGAATAGGAATTACTTTCTTACTACATTCAAAGTGACCCTGTCACCAATGGGGCCACTTTTACTCAATGATCATCATGTAAAAAAAAGATGGAATACACTTATGTCCCAATTATAGCAATTATCTGACTGGTCAGATTGGTTGAATACCAAATACCTCACTGCACCCTGTGGTTTCTAAAGTCAGCTCATATGTCCATGTGATAACATGCAAACCAGTAGGGAAAACCAAAGGGTAAAGTGGGGGAGCAGGTATGCTACACACCTGTGTGTAATACCTGCTCTGGCCTCTTTTATAGGGCAATCTTTGAGTAAACAAAGGTTTTTGGGGTTTTTTTTGCTTTAAACGCAAAGTGAAAACACAAGCAGACAGAAAAGCTCAACAAAATACATTTAAACTGACCACAGAAAGTAAAATATCTATAACTTTAAAGAATACTTGTCATTAAATAACAAAGATGCTGCTGTTGCCAAGACTTCTCCAGGGTGTCACCCATCCTCTGGAACTCCCTGCCCCAACCCATCAGATTATCACCTACTCTCCTCTCCTTTAGGCGCACCCTGAAAACCCATCTCTTCAGGGAAGCCTACCCCACCCCCTGCTAACTTGCCGACCTCCTCCACTCTTCCTACCACTCCATCCCCCACAGCTATCTCCTCCTGTGCCACCATCCCCTCCCTCCTAGATTGTAAGCTCGAAAGAGCAGGGCCCTCGATCCCCTCATGTTTTGCATTGTATTGGTATTGTTCTGTCACATGTTCTGTCCCCCTTTGTAATGTACAGCGCTGAGCGAACCATTGGTGCTTTATAAATACTGTATAATAATAATAATATCCTTTGGTTGACCCTCTTCAGTGTCAGTACAGTGAGTCTATGCATTTATGCAGATAAGGACTTTCATTTTCTCTGACTTTACTGGTCTGAATTCTTGTTCCAGGTTAGTGACTCAAAGTGAAGAAACCCTTATGTTTGATTTTAAATTCATCTTCTTTATCTATAACCCTAAAGCAGAACAATTCTCACCTCCAATCCCACGATGCGTTGGAGTTCTGTAAAAGTCAGCATTGCCAAATTTGTACAGTGAGCTGCGCCTGAGCGGCTCACTGTACAGGTGTGGACAGGCAGGTAGGTAGCTTTAATACTGAAGAGACAAAGCATGAAAAATCCTGCCTGTCCGCCCATTTTTACTTTTTACCTAAAGTTCCACTTTAAGTAAAAAGACTAATCTGTTGTTTCAAATCTGTACCTTTACATTAGTTTTCGGTCTTTATTTGAGCTACTTCTGCTGTGCACCTCTTTTTAATGCCCTCTATCCAGCGCTGATCCAATAAGGGCACCTATGCGTTTGTGCTCAGAGGTCAGAACGATATATCTGTGTCCTAATGCCACCTAAGGCACGTGCAGCATGGCACTAGAGGACATGTTAGCTCCGTTTCCTGTGCTTTTTGATTGACAGCGGCTCTAGAGCACATTAAACCAGCCCTGCCTTTTTCGCTGCTGACGAGCAGTCTGCTTGCCCATGCATCAGCTGTTATAAACAGTGGAGAGGAGCACATGCATGTTAGCAAAAAACATGACACGCAGTCCCGAAAGCTGGGTTACATGGACCTGGGAGCATGCTCTGCCAGCTGAAAGTTCATACACATGAAAGCAGGAAATGCTGATAGTGCAGCAAACAATGGTCAGTGATATCTTATAACAGAAAGGTAAACATGCATATCATTAGTTATTACAGGTATATAGTGCAGATGATTTACACAGCATTTTACATATTGTACATTCACAACAGTCCCTGTCCTCAAGGGGCTTACAGTCTAAGGTACCCACCTCACATGTATACATACAAATGCTAGGGCCAATTTAGACAAAGAGCCAAATAACCCACCAGTATGTCTTTGGAGTGGAAACTGGAGAACTTGGAGAAAACCTAAGCAAATATGGATAATATGCAAACTTCATGTAGGTATTGTCTTGGTCAGGATTCAAACTGAGGACACCTATGCTGCAAGACAGAAATCCTAACCACTAATATGTTCAATCTACTAACTACATGTAAAAGGTTTGCTGCAGCTAGCCACTGTAAATAACACAAAAAGAAATACGGTTTAGCAGCTGAGTACTAAAAGGAGAGAGTGCAAAAAAGAGGAAGGAAAAGCACTGCAGACAGTTCCTTACCTTTGCTTGTGTTAGAGCTGCCTTTTTGACTTGCAGTTGTGACTGTAAAAGCTTAAAGTTTTTTGACCATCCTTCTGTTTTTGAATCACTAGTCTCAACTCCTAAATCGTCGTATAAAGACATGATTCTGACCTTCAAGCTAGAAAGAAAAAAGAAAAAGAAAAGCTGAGAATAATTATCACAGAACACTAGCTGGGAATGAACAAGGATACATTTCTTAAAGGAGAGACAAAATAAGTAAAATTTAAAAGTGAAGTATGGCCTAAGGGCAGACAGTGTATTGAGAGTCTGCAGGAGCTTAGCATTGCACCCTTGATCTGCTGATTGCAGGTGTAACGCTTTACAGGCTGCAGTGTAAATAAATAAATGCACATTTTTCACCTGCAAAAATATGTGAATTTATAATTTTAAAAGGTGAATTTCTCCTTTAAATACATATCTGAGCCCTCTCTCAATCCAGCACTGTGCTCATCTGCAGCAGTGCTGCTCTTCTCTCCCCTCTCTCACATTAGGCTTGGCAGCAGTGGGAGCCATTGGCTCCTACTGCTGTCAATCAAATCCTGTGAGCAGGGGGTGGGACTGAGATGTGCTGTGTGAGTCTGTGGACACATGCAGCCCAGCTCAGGAGCCGGCCTACACATGTGTTCCCATAGGAAACAGCTTTCTATGGGGAGCACGAGGAAGAAGAGCAGCCAGGAAGCTGAGTTTTAGGATGCTCTGTTATTGTTTTTTTTTTGCTTTTTTTTTTTTAAACTTTTTCTTAGCCTTTACAATCACTTTAAAGTGGTGTTAAAAGTGGGATTTAGAAAAAAAAAAACATGTCATACTTACCTGCTCAGTGCAATGGTTTTGCACAGAACAGCCCAGATCCTCCTTGCATCCCCTGCTGGCACTCTTGGCTCCTCCCCTTGACCAGTGCCCCCAATAGCAAGCTGCTTGCTATGCGGGCACTGGTGCAAACTCGCTCTTGAGCCCGAATCTGTGCATCCATAAGACACGTACAGTCACAGCTCAGCCCCACCTCTCTCTGAACTGGCTCACTGTGATGTGATTGACAGCAGAAGAAGCAAATCGCACCTGCTGCTGTCTCAGCCAATGAGGAAAGGGAGTTTTGGGACGGTCAAGGCTCTCATGCACATCGCTAGATCAAGAGGGGGCTTAGCTAAGTATTGCGGGGGGGGGGGGGCGGGGTGGCTGTAGGGGGAAGCAGCACACAAGGTTTTTTACCTTTATGCATAGAATGCACGAAGGCAAAAAACCTTCTGTCTTTACAACCACTTTAAGATAAGGTGAACTGTAAATTATTATAGGTAGGTACTTGTATGAACACAATTGTGTATGCTTTAAGTTTATTGCAGTTTATTTTTTATTTGATTTCAAATTCGCTTAGGGTGCTGAAATGTTTTTAGGGAAGCGAAGAATAGTTCATTGGAGGTGGGACAGGCTGATCTGCACGGTGTGTGCCAATAGACAAACACAGTGTGGCTTGGGATCAAGCCCACACAAGTGTCCACATAGCAAGCAGCTTGCTATGGGGGTCACTTGGAGAGGAGGAGGAGCCAAGACAGACAACAGGGGACCCTAGAAGGCGGCTGATCATGACTGTTCTGTGCAAAACCATTACACGGTGCAGGTAAGTATGATGTTTGTTATTTTAGAAAAAAAAAAAAATAAAGCTTTATAATCACTCTAAAGACCCTAGTTCAGCAAACATTTTTGTGGCCCCTATATATTACCATAGAAGCCACAATGTTCTTATGTCCTCCAGAGTCATCTTCTCTAGAGTCTAGACCATTCTTTCTCAACCTTTTCAACACAGATGAACCCTTGAAATAACTTTCCAGTCTCTCAGGGAACCCTGCTATACATTAGTATGATGGTCAGTGGGAAGAATGCTCCTTAAGCTGACCACAGATGGATTAAATCTCGGGTGATTAAGTAGAGACCAGCTGAGATTTGATCTGTCTATGGGCAGGCTGGTTGTACGGAAGTCGATTTATCGCTCCTTATCGGCAGAACACAATAGCACTGCAGGAGGTATTCCCAGTCAGTGTTGATAGGGGAACCCATGGTTGCAGGAAAGAAAATCACATCAGCTATGGATTGCCTTACACTTTGTGGACACTGGGAGGAATTACCCCCTTAGGGTCCTTTCACACGGGCGGTCCGTTTTTTTCAGCAGTTCAGTCACGTTTTTTTCCAAGGAAAAACAGATCAGTTCATGTACATTTTTCTACGGTGAAAAACCAGACATACGGAACGCCCATGTGAAATGGGCCTTACAGATAACAAAAAAAAAAAAAAATCTGGTGTCAGTGAGAGAGGCAGAAACTGCTCATTGCTCAAGGAACCCCTAGCGGCCTCTGGAGGAACCCAATAGATCCACAGAACCCTGAGAAACCCTGGTCTAGAAGCAGGATGCCAGCTGAATGTACATTTACCAAGAGAACTATGCCTACATGAGGGCTCATCAGAAATGTAGGCAACATGATGACCCCACAGCACTTTATACCACAGAACCGAGCAGGGTGACAACACCACATGGATTTCACAGCAGGCCATTCAGGATTGTCACCCTACAGGAGGAGATAGAAGAGTTCATCGGCAGGATGGCAAAGTATTACAAACCACAACAGAACAGAAAGAGGCAGTATGATCGTGGGTTATGATTCCATTCAGATCTAAATGAACACTCCCAGTGTGTGATCAGGTTAGGTGCAAACACTACAAAGCAGCCAACCAGCATTATGAAAAGCAGGCACACAATAATAATAATAACAATAATAATACACACACTAACACTATTGTGATTCACTTTCATACAATCAGCAGCCCAGGGAAAACACCTGAATGAGTGTTCTAACTTGTAGAAAGGAAAAAAAGGCAGTCATCTACTAAACACAGCACCGAGCATGGAGGGCAGGAGACCAGGCTTAGTTATCACATAACAGACAGAGCCCTCCACACTGCAGAGCCATGCAACGTACACTAGGCCGTAAAGCCTGAGGCTCGCCTGGCAGACACAGCCTGTGTTGTATGAAGCAGTACGGAGCACAGTATACCCCCAACACTCACCTACTGTGTACACCAATACTCCATATAACCCCGGAGTACAGAGAGCGGCCTCCACCGTATCAGTTACATTCAATATCCACACAACCGGAGCCACCACAACGAGGCTTGTACCGCAAAGCCCAGAAACACACTACGGCGTGCCAGGATGTGTGGTGAGACGACGTCATAAACAGGCGGAAGTGGAGAATGGCCATGACTAGAACTGGCAAGGATGGAGTATGTCATAGATCAGTTGTAATTTCGCAGTCATTTCGCTTAACTTCTCCCCCTTGCCTTCTCCCACATCTGAATGTCACTTTATATATATATATATATATATATATATATATATATATATATATATATAAAAAAAATACATAATACATATATATATATATAATGTACATATACACACACACACACATATATATATATATATATATATATATATATATATATATATATATATATATATATAAAATACATATATATATATATATATATGAGCAGGGCCTTCTGTTTCCTCTTGTACCAAATTGTATTGTAACTGTAATGTCTACGTCTACCTTCATTTTGTAAAACGCTGCACAAACTGTTGGCGCTATATAAATCCTGTATAATAATAAATATATATATATATATATATACATACACTATATTGCCAAAAGTATTGGGACGCCTGCCTTTACATGCACATGATCCTTAATGGCATCCCAGTCTTAGTCCGTAGGGTTCAATATTGAGTTGGCCCACCCTTTGCAGCTATAACAGCTTCAACTCTTCTGGGAAGGCAGTCCACAAGGTTTAGGAGTGTGTCTATGGGAATGTTTGACCATTCTTCCAGAAGAACATTTGTGAGGTCAGGCACTGATGTCGGATGAGAAGGCCTGACTCGCAGTTTCCACTCTAATTCATCCCAAAGGTGTTCTATCGGGTTGAGGTCAGGACCCCAAACTCGCTAATCCATGTCTTTATGGACCTTGCTTTGTGCACTGGTGCACAGTCATGTTGGAACAGGAAGGGGTCATCCCCAAACTGTTCCCACAAAGTTGGGAGAATGAAATTGTCCAAAATTTCTTGGTATGCTGACGCCTTAAGAGTTCCCTTCACTGGAACTAAGGGGCCAGGCCCAACCTCGTAAAAACGACCCTACACCATAATCCCTCTCCACCAAACTTTACACTTGGCACAATGCAGTCAGGCAAGTACCGTTCTCCTGGCAACCTCCAAACCCAGACACGTCCATCAGATTGCCAGACACAGAAGCATGATTTGTCACTCCAGAGAACATGTCTCCACTGCTCTAGAGTCCAGTGGCGGTGTGCTTTACACCACTGCATCCGACGCTTTGCTTTGCTCTTGGTGATGGCTTGGATGCAGCTGCTCGGCCATGGAAACCAATTCCATGAAGCTCTCTACACACTGTTGTTGTGCTAATCTGAAGGCCACTTGAAGTTTGGAGGTCTTTAGCTATTGACTCTGCAGACAGTTGGTGACTTCTGCACACTGTGCGCTTAAGCGTGCAGTGACCCGCTCTATCATTTTATGTGGCCTACCACTTCGTTGCTGAGTTGCTGTGGTTCCCAGTTTCTTTCACTTTGTTATAATACTACTAACAGTTGACATGGAATATTTAGTAGCAAGGAAATTTCATGGATGGACTTACTGCACAGGTGGCAACCTATGACATTACCATGCTTGAATTCCCTGAGCTCCTGAGAGCGACCCATTCTTTCAAAAATGTTTGTAGAAGCAGTCTGCATGCCTAGGTGCTTGCTTTTATACACCTGTGGCCATGGAGGTGATTGGAACACCTGAATTCAAAGATTTGGAGGGGTGTCCCAATACGTTTGGCAATATATATATATATATATATATATATATATATATATATATATATATATATAATTATTATTAATATATACAGGGGTTAGACAAAAAAATTGAAATACTACATGATTTGCAGGTTTAAAAGTGACGATATGTTTTGCGTCTAAATGACTAAAAGCAGATTTCTAGATGACTTGATCATGGTAATTTTTGGAATAATGTATAGGAAAAAAATGTAC